GATCCCTGTGTCCCAGTAATTCCACTATGCATGACCCACTCCATAGAAATATGTTTCCTCAGAGACATTAAAAGCATGTTCTTGGGCCCTCCCTGGTGGCGCAGCGGGTTAAAGCACAGCACTAAGAAGCTTAAGCCACTTCCGCATGAGTTCGATCCCCACCTGCCCCAGAGGAGATCCACATGGCGCGGCAGACCTCTCCTGACCCGCCCTCTGCTCCCCTCAGCAGTGTACTTCGTCAATCAGCCTGTTCTGCTCCCCGCTCTGTTCCTGGTGAATCCTCTCACCCTTCGCATCTCTGGCCTGTACCCTAGTTCTGTATGAATAAATAAATAAATCTTTTTAAAAAAAAAAAAGCATGTTCTTAAATTATTACAATTTGGCCCTCCTTGGTGGCGCAATGGGTTAGGATGCAGCACTGTAAGCTGGCCGCAGCCGCTTCAGTGCGAGTTCGATCCTGGGCCCTGGAGATGACCACATGGCCCAGTAGACCTCTCCTGACCCGCCCGCTGCTCCCCTCAGCAGTGTACTTTGTCCATCTGCCTGTTCTGCTCCCCACTTTGTCTCTGGTGAAGCCTCTCACCGCCCCTGCACCTCTGACTTGTACCCCAGCTCTGTATGCATAAATAAATCTTTTTTAAAAAATTATTACAATCATCAAGAACTGGAAACAATTCAAATACCCAACAATAGTAAAAAGCACAAATGATATGATGTAGTTATATAACGGAGTACTCCTAGTAACGAAAAACAAAAAGCCCCTGCCACACACAACAGCTGAGGAAATTCAGACATGCAAATGAAACACTGACACAGAAGAATACATATTGTTAGAAGTTGTTACTATTAAATTTTTTATGATTTATTTATTTATGCACACAAGAACTGGGGTAGAGGCCAGAAGTGTGGGGGTGAGAGGACTCACCAGAGACTGATTGGGGAGCAGAACAGGCAGATCTAGGAAGTACACTGCTGAGGGGAGCAGCGGGGAGCCAGGAGAGGTCTGCTGCGCCCTGGGGGTCACTCCCCTGCCAGGGATCAAATGCCTGCACTCCCTGGTTGTGCAGTGGCTGTGGATAGCTGCATAGTGCTGCGCTTTAACTCACTGCACAACCAGGGAGGTCCCATTACTATTAATTTTTTAATGGAAAACTATGGTGCTATAACTCAAAATATCAATCACTCTTAATGAGGACATACTGACTGAGAGGAGGGCAGAGAGATTTCCAGGGTGCCATCCAAATCTTGGGCTAGATAATCTAAGTGCACATGTTCACTTTGTAAGCCTCAAATTCCACATTTACTTGTGCTATTTTCTATATATATTATCATAATCTCATTTTAAAATTTACCAAGAAGTCCAGAGATATGAGACAAAATTCAAAATACTCAACAATGAGGCACTCAAGGGAAAGACCTTAGTGACCATTAAGTCCTCTTAATGCAGAACTATAGCCAACCTACTGTTAGAAAACTTCACAGCCTAAGTTACAAAATGAACATACTCTCTACTGCGACTCTACCATGATAAAACAACTCACCAGATTGTCACCAAACTTAGAGGGTACCAGGTTGCACAGTATCTAAGCTCCAGGTGGGGCCCAGCACCTTGGGGACGGAAACCCCAGAGCCGGTGGGGCCGCCTTGCCTTGCCTTGGAAAGCCCTTGCTCCGTCAGTCCTCTGACATGTTCCTGACTGAGCGCCAGCAGAGAGACTTGGTTACTGATTTTTAAAACAATTCCAGAAAAACCCTCTAACATGGTTTGAACTTAAAAAAAGGGGGGGGGGTTTGGAAAGAAGGGTATGTGCACTCTATACACAGGGCACAATGCCTCTGTGTCAGTGAAGACTGGCCAATACCCCAGGCCTACTCAACTAACGAGTCTCAGGGACTAGCCCCGGGAGTCCTTTGTGTGGGACTGAGCAAACCCCTACAAAAACACAGCTAAGGGAAGTTCTAATGTCCTTTTACCTTGCTGAGTTCCTGCCAGTAAATTAAGCTGTTCAAATCCAGATGGGATGGAGTGGAATTCTTTAAGGGTGGGCTACATGGTATTGATCTTTGTTGCCCCAAAGGGCTAGCTCCTAGACCAGGAGCATAGATTAGACCTTAATAACTGCTGAGTCCTGATTTTTTAGAGTACACCCTCAATCCAAGAACCGCTGGACTATGTGGTCAGATCGAAAGGGACACATTCAGTTCAAAGCAACGAAGAAAATCTTAGGCTATGTACTTTATAAGGACATGTTAATGTTTAAGTCTCTTTCATCTTCAGCTTCTTGTCATGCCAAAATTATGTGCTTGAAGTAAAACTCTGAGGCTATAAAGGTTAAAGACATTTCCAAGTAGGTAAATTCATGTTTCACTCTAGTTTCCAATACACTATACCATAATCAAGTATGGCTGTAAAAAAATGGATAAAAACGTGCTTTATTCCATTGCTCATCAATTTGTATAGGTTTTACCATAAAGGTTTTCTTGTGGGAACATAAAGAGAAATTTATTTTGAATTGATTAAACTGACTCCTTTCCAAAAGAGACCTAAGCCTGATAAATATGAAGAACATTTACCATTAAACGTTTGTAAGGCCCACCTGGTGGCGCAATGGGCTAAAGTGCAGCATTACAAAGCTGGCTGTAGCTGCTTCAACACCAATTCGATCCCCAGTCAGGGAGGTGACCCACGTGGCACAGCAGACCTCTCCAGTCTCCCCACCGCTCCCCCTCAGCAGTTTACTTTGTCAGTCTGCCTATTCTCCCCACTCTGTCTCTGGCGAATCCACTCACCACCCCTGCACCTCTGGCCTGTACCCCAGTTACATATGCATAAATAAATAAATCTTTTCTTAAATTTTTTTAAAAAATTACGAAGGAGGGCCCTCCCTGGTGGCACAGCAGGTTAAAGCACAGCACTAAAGAGGTGAAAGCCACTTCAGCACAAGTTCGATCCCCGCCCCAAGAGGTGACCCACAGGGCGCGGCAGACCTCTCCTGACCCGCCCGCTGCTCCCCTCATCAATGTACTTCGTCAGTCGGCCTGCTCTGCTCCCCACTCGTTTCTGGTGAATCCTCTCACCACCCCTGCACCTCTGACCTATATCCCAGTTCTGTATGCATAAATAAATAAATAAATAAATCTTTATAAAAAATATGACAAAGGAGAAGAGGAAGCATTATGCTAATTACAGATTAATATAGTTTCCATGGCTAAGCATCATACTTAGATATGTTTCCTGGTAACAAAAGCAAGATTTTTACCTCAATTATATATACTTGCTTAAAAAAAAAAAGAAAGAAAGAGGCTAGGTGGGGGTGAGGAGGAAGACTAGTAATTTCTCAAAATATACAGGTTTTGCTTATTGGGAGTCCCCAACTTTTCAGCCAATGGTTCTCTGCCCTTACCTATCTTAGATATGGGTATTTACAATCTATTTGAAGAAAATGTTCTGGGGCCTAAAACAAAGAAAAGCTTAAAAATTCTGAGCTAACACAATTCTTGCACTACAAACAAAAAGACAAGCAGCCAACAAAAAGATGCTGTCTCCACAGTGCTCCTGCTACGAAGCAGGACCTTGACCTTGAACTGCTACCATGACCTCAACCTTAACTTTCTCTAGTGTCTTCGCCATACAAAGAACAGCCTATGTGAGTGATGGGGGAGAGAGCAGTGAACCAATGAAGAAAGCTTCCGAATAGTTCCACCTGTTATTTTTTCTCTCTGAATGAAGGTTTATACACAAGAGATGATGCAACAGGAAACTTCCCACCAAGGAGACAGAACATGACGGGGCCACAGATGTCAGTTCTGTAGCGAGTGGCCTACTCGGCTGTACAGTGAGCCACCTGCACAGACATTTCCCCAGCGCCCCCATCCAGTCACAGGCACCTGACCCACAAAGGAAGCAGGGGTGGCAGAAGCTTCACTTGTCAATCAGCAAAGTCTGAGAGAAAACTGCAAAAGACAGCTCTAAAAATGAACGTGAAGGCAAGGCCTGAGCAAGAGGCACGCTGCATGTTTACACACACATATGACTTCAGTCTTCTACCTTCCTGAATATCCCACTCAGGCTTCCACATCCATTCCAAAGCAGGATGTGGCTTTCAGCACACTCAGGGGCCATGAGATGAAGCAGATGCAATTAAGACAAAACTTGTAGGAGAAAATGCATATGTAGATTATGTGCATAAACTCAGTTTCTGTGGTGAAATTACAAAGACCTACGATTTGTAAAAAAAAGTCAATCCCTGGTCCAATTTCACAACGCTCATCTCTTCCGTAAGTTAAGAAAGAATCACAAAACTCTGTTGTTGTACTTCTTACTTTATTTTAAAGTGAGAAGTTTTGTTTTTAACCCTTTCTCCAAGTTTGGAATATGAGGTTTCAAAGGAAATTCACTGGACTTCATGGTGAACAACAGTAAAAAGAGGTCAATAACGTAGAAAAAAAAAACTGCTCTAAAAGTGTTTTCCTTTTCCATCTAGCACACTTCATTAAATAACGCCGTATGATAAAGGAAATCAATAACCAGTAATTTGATTATCCATAATAACCAGTGATAAACAACGCAGACGTAAACTCTCAACCCTGAGGGGCGCCAGAAGCTCTCCCCATGCCGGCGTGTCTGCCATGAACCCACACGGGGATGTCAATGGCAGCTTCTAGCCGGCAGCTTCCCACACCCCAGTGCAGGCTACAAGGGCAATCCTGGGGGTGATGGGGAAAAAAAGAGGATGCCAGACTGTGGCCTGCTTACCTTGTCAACCCCCCCAATCAGGGAGGAACAGGTGGACACGAAGTAGCAAACATTTATTCTTCCTACAATCCTCTATATATTTTTCTGTGTAATCAAGTGTTCTGCCTTTATATAACATGATAAATATTTAATTGACAATAAGTTATTATTTTCTTTACTGAGTCGCTGATTTAATTTCCTAAAATTAGTATTTGTTGCAATTATAATCACAGGAAACCCAAAGGGTAACATGATAATGAATTCACCTTTGTTACTGGTTTTGCTCTCAAACCTCCGTTCTCCACGACGCTGAGGCCCAGTTTGCCGTCATCCTTACTTCCGATGGCTTTCAGACCTTGCAGAAGAATGTCGCGTAAATTCTGATAAAGAGGTTTTTCAGCATAGTCCAGTAATTTCACTGTTTCCAGATATTTAGCAATTTCACCTAAAAGAGTAACAATTTTTCTGCATTTTATTAGGAATACATTTATCTCTTACATCTAATAAAAGAATTCATCGTTATAGGCAAATTAGAATGCAAACAAAACAATATTTTTCTATCTCATACTTCCTCAGTGGCAAGTACTTTTAAATTCAGGAACTGTCAGAGAGGTGAAATAAATAATGTATTTTGAGACACAAAGTAAAAAACAGTTATGAAATTGTAAGATAGACAATGTACTTTAAATGCAGAGAGAAATAAATGCTATAGTTTATAAGTGCTACTATAAAATAAAAGGACCTAGAATAAACATTCTGAAACAAAATGTCCTTAAAATACAATTAATATAATAGCCAATATTTTTCTTGCCACGGGAAGCTACTAGGTCTTCAGAAGACAGCTGCATTTTTTGTGTGAATGAGAAATGAAACATACTAAAAATAGGCTAAAGAAAGGAGAAAGAAGCAAGGCCTGGTTTTACAATAAAAGGGAAAAAGCAGCTTCTGAAAGACAGTCACACTGCGACTAAGCCTCACTGGGGAAAGAATGTGGCCCCCAAGAGACACTTCAATGTGAAAAGCCCTTCTTGGACAGTGACCTGCACTCTGCCTCCAGCCTGCCCCTGACTTCCAGACTGGCCTCACACACTGGTCCCTGGATGTTCAACGGTCTGCTCATGTCCTAATTCCAACCCTGCTCCCCCGCAGGCCTCTCACCCCGTTACTCCACACGCCAGGTGTCTTCCCACATCCAGTAAGTCAGACATCTCAGTGCTGCGCACGCACGCACAGTATCTCTCTCTCTCCTCCCCGTCTCATTCATTCATTCAAATACTTATTAAGTAGGGATCTGAAGTAAATATCACCACATGTGGTAAGACACTGAAAGCTTTAAGAGAACAGCAAAAAGGTCCACTTTCACCAATTCTCTTCAGTTAACAGGCAGGTTTGCTTTGGACTAGCACATTAAGGCAAGACAAAAAATAGGCTGGAATGAAACCACAAACAAGGTAGTTAAGCAGAAGGCCCCAAGGAATGTATTTTTTTTAAAGATTTATTTATTCATTCATACAGAACTGGGGTACAGGCCAGAGATGCGGAGGGTGAGAGGATTCACCAGGGACAGAGTGGGGAGCAGAACAGGCAGATCAACGAAGTACACTGCTGAGGGGTGCAGTGGGCGGGTCAGGAGAGGTCTGCCGCGCCATGTGGTCTCCTCTGGGGCAGGCGGGGATCGAACTCATGTGGAAGTGGCTTAAGCTTTTAGTGCAGTGTTTTAACCTCTGCGCCATCAGGGAAGGCCAGAATGTATTTTTATTTTAAGATTTTCATTTATTTATGCATACAGACTGAGATGCTGACCAGAGAGAGGTGCAGTGGCAGTGAGAGGATTCACCAGAGAGAGAGAGCGGGGAGCAGAACAGGCAGATCAACAGAGTACACTGCTGAGGAGAGCAGTAGGCAAGACAGGAGAGGTCTGCTGTGCCATGTGGGTCACTCCCTGGCAGGGGATAGAATTCGTGTTGAAGTATCTGCAGCCAGCTTCGTAGTGCTGTGATTTAACCAGCTGTGCCACCAGAAAGGGCCCCCAAGGAATGTATTTAAAAAAAAAACCTTCTAGAACTAGTAGGTAAATTTAACAAGGTCACAAAATACCAGAAAATATATAAAAATCTATTCTATTTCTATATGTCAAAATAAAGCTGCAAAATAAATTTTTTTTAAATCACTTATAAAAACACCAAAACTGTACACAAAATATTAAAGATGAGAAAGATATTTTTGCAGAGAAAGCTGTAAAATACAGTTGAGGGAAACTAGAGAGAGCACCTTAGCAGCCTGGAAGGCACAGCACAGAGGCGCCAAAGCGCCCCACGGAGTGTGCAGCAGGCACAGCCCACTCATGTTCCAGCGCACTGGAGGGGGCGCGTGGGGACCTGACAAGGTGACTCAGGCTGCGCAGACAGCAGCGCCGACAGCAGCACGGCACGGTCCAGTCGGCCAAACAGCAGTGCTGAGACTGGAGCAGCAGCCAGTGAGACTTACGATCAAGGCCCAACAATGGCCCAAGGGAAAAAAGAATGAATGAAGAGTGAATCCAGAAACAGAAAGTGAGGTCACTAGGAAAGAAAGGTCTTTTCTAGCAGGGCTGTTGTGTCAACGGGATGTATTTTGGGGGTAGGGGAGAAACCAGCCCGTCCACCGCACCCCACCCCCACCCCGGTGTGAGCACAGAACAACCAACTGCAGGTAACTGCGCACCTATGTGTGTGCCTGACCATCTGTACCTGCCAAAACTGGCAATGACTCAATCATGCTAGCTGGACACAGCACGCAAATGCCCTGGAATCCCGAGCAGAAATGGAAATGGCCAAGCCAGGTGAAGAAACACGCAGCATGGGGGTGTGAGGAGCTGCTGTCCAAGACCACGGCCAGTGTTCTCGGCACACAGCAGTAACCACCAGCCACGCGAGCTGAGGACGTGTTGTCGTCTTGATCTTGGCAATCACCCTATGAATGCCGGTCAAGTCCAGAGTCATGGTTATATTTATCACTATTCTTTAACAAATTTAAAAATCAACAACAAAAAGCCCATGCAATACGGGAATGAAATTTATAACTACAAAACCAAGTGAAAGAAAAAGGAGCAAAAGAACCAGAAGGTTAATTTCACGAGGGCAGGGATTTTATGTCTTGTTTATCATTACATTTCTCCACATTTCAAACCCCATCTGATGTTGAAGTTAGCATGGACACGCGCTCATCCACAGGCACAGGCCCCTGCCTGGCAGGACACGCGTGGAGGGGCTTCTAAGAGGCCTGTAACAGCCCCTCTCTTGCCGTGGTTGGTAGATCGCAATTTAAATAGAGTAAGGCGAGAGGAGACCTCCCTGAAAAGAGGACAAATGAGCCATGGCTGGGAAAGAACTGCAGTAAACCCCACCTGGGCACGCCGCCCCTGTCCACGCACTCCCGCCTGGATTATCAGTGACCCCAGCTACCGCCTGCTCCCACCGATGCCTCACCTCGCTGCTGCAGCAGTCTACCCCCTGAACAGAAGCAGAGAGGACTCCTGTGGATGGACAGCTCAGCTACTCTTCCACTTCAAACCTCGCACTCTTGCTCAAAGCTAAAACCCTAACCCAAGCCCCCGTGCAAATCCTCAGTGCGAAAGGGGGCGCCAAGGCACCTCCGCTTGGCGACTCTGCTCAGTCCTTCCCCAGCTCCTTCCCTGCAGCCCCCTCTGTCCCCAGGGAGGCCACACCTGGCTCTCCATAAATTCCAATCTTCCCCCACCCCACCCCACCCTACCACACCCCACCCCTATTCTCTGCGCTCTTCTTCACAGCACAAACCATGTTACATCCTGCAAAACTCACTCATTTGTTTCCAGTCTCTCTCAACTACACCCTTAGCCTCACAAAGACAGGAATCTAACTCGCTCTGCTCTCAGGCCTGCCTCCTGTGCTTAGAAGAGTCCAGGGCACGTGAAAGAACAGCCTCAATGAAAACAAGCCGAGAGCCCACATGAGACCTGGTTCCTGAAGCACTGCAGGCCAGACAGGGCTGAGGCGCCGGCGTCCACTCTGGAGAGCGAGTGCTGCTGGTGCAAGCGGACGGACGTGGTTCGGTGACAGCCCCCCGCACACCCAGACTTGCAGCCAGGGGGCCCCATGGGCCTGTGGGCTTTTCCTCGCTCACTCAAAACAAAATCCTACAAAAACAAAGTCTTTTCCTACCTGGCTTGCTTTTCTCAGGAAAACATTTGTCCATCAAACCCGCAATATTTTCTCTGTATCTGTTAAAAATTAAAGAATGAGTCACTGTTTGAGGCTTGACAGCACAGAAAGTCGCTGCTACTTCACGCCAGGCAGCCAGCTGCGCTGTGCTGAGGCTGAGCTCAGAGGTCCAGCACAGCTGCCCCTTACCACGGCCAGCCCTACCTCGGCTTTACCAAGGCTGATCAGCTGCTCCTGTGAGAGGCTGGCAGAAACACACTTGTCTTATCATGATTTTGCCCCAAATAATTTATTACAAGTTTTCCATTACCTAATTTTGGAATCTCTAACATAGTTAGGATCTTTCAAATTATCCTCCCAAGGAAGACGGCCACTAAGCCACTGGACCATGCAGTAACCAAGTATTTCCAAATCACCACGTCTTGATGGGGCTATGAATGTAAAAGAAGCAGGTTAAGCACAAAAATAAGTAAGATATAACTTCAAGAATATGCAAAGCAATAAGGGAAAACAGCCAATTTACAGTCCATATCTCATCATAAAAATTGTGACTACATTTAACAAAAGTACTGAACACTGGACAGTAAAAAAGAAGTAATTTACCTCCTTAAAATTTACTTTAAAATCCAAATTGGCAAACTAGTCTAAAGTTTCAAACAGAGGCTGTTAGTCTAGGAAATAAATTATAAAGCACTGACACATTTAACATTGCCCTTGGAAAACCCAAAGATATTAAAAATGCCACAAGCTATTAAGAGCCCAGAGAATTGGGGATTTAGGCTCCTCCATGGTGTTGGGCAAAGAAGGAAAAAAAAGACCAATGAAGAAATCGGCTAACTTGTAAGAGGCAACAAAAAAAGTTTTCCCGGTATGAAGTTGTTGAATAAGAAGCCTACAGATTTGGTGGAGGGGTCACCCCATCACTCAAGTAAGCCAAATAAATCCAAAGGAAGTCCTCACTAAAGTAGACTGAAGCACTTTCCTGGTTAAAACCCTGGCACTTTAAGGGGGAGGCGAGGAGAGACACAGCTCGCCTCTTCTGTTCTGATCTGTTCACGCAGAGGTAAATATCTGGCTGGGACACGACACGCGAGTCTCGCTCCAGGGGCTGACATACCCACGCCATTGTGTGCGTCGATGCTGGTGAACTCGATGGTGCCATCGTGGCACCTCTTTGGGTCTTCTTTGTATTCTTTGTGAATTCCTTCTGGGCAGTACCGATAAGCAAGGCCATAATCTACCAAGAACACCTATAAGTTTCCAAGTACCAAAACAAAGAAAGCTAGAATGATTACACATGACTGCTCTCAAAGTCCAGGAACAAAAATACTGTCATAGAGGGTAGATTCCACTACAGAATCACACCTGAGCACCCAAACAAGTTAGATCCAATATACAAGCAACAGCAGACACTCAACCGGGAAAGACAGTTCTTTGAAGAAAAACACTCAGAGACCTGGTAGTGGCAGTGCAGACAAATGCTTCACTTTCTGTGCTTCTCTAGGCAAGCATGTGCTTGCTACACGTGTAGCTAAGCGTGATCCTCAGCCTGAGCTAGGACTATTCTCGCTGTCACAAAGTCGAAAACAAAATGAAGCCCCAAACAAACCTCGACCCTTGCTGTATCTGCTGCCGCACAGCCACCATGGTGTGACAAGACTGCCAACCTTGTCGCGCTATGGCTGCTTCGCAGGTAATAACCACCTTTCTGTTCACTCTATGAGGCAGTGACCTGAAGGACTTTTGATAAGGCTTTTATCCACATGTATTTAAATATTAAAGCCAAGTCTTCCTAACTAGAACTGGATTTTAACATCACACACACATATATTTGTGGGCATGGACATGTGGGCCTGATTAGCAGACAAAGCTAACAAATTTGCTTTCTTCTATTATATATATAGTCACACATTACACTTTGAATTGTCTCACAAGTGTATGCATTTGGTCACAAGAAGAAACGGAAATACAAGTATAGCGCTGGATCTAGCACAAACAGAGAATACTAGAAAAATAATCCCACCCAGCTGCTTGAAGGATAACAGAGCTGCAAAAATATTTCCATCTAAACAAAAGGCAGCAAGTGGCGGTCAACCGCAAAGTGAGGTAAAGCTGCAGCTTTTGTTTATTTTGTTGGACAGATCCAGCCTGCTCCAATTAATAGAACCCTTATCACTCAGTCTTAGCTACAATTTTTTTTTTTAACCTAAAAGCATTTCAAACAAGACGGCTGGAAATTCTGCAAATGCCTTTACTATTTCCCCACAAGAAGCATTAGCACAGCAACTTTGTTCGGTTCGGTATAACAGACTCCTTACAGCCACCATATGGAGATGGGGAAAGGAAGCAAAATATGAAATGAGTGAAAAAAGGAAGGAGGGACAAAGGAAACACTGAGTAAGAAGAAGTTAAAGGCAGATTTGAGAAAAAGAAAAATGTGGTCTAGAGTACTGAATGCTTAAATATTCCTCTTATGAGATCGAGCAAAAAGTGAGCACATCAGGAAGCATTAGACACGGCGGCCAGCGCCAAGCGCTAACTAACCCTTACTCACCTAAGCATGGAAGCAGCGAACACAACACTGTCTACGTCTAATCCCACTAAGCTGACCCAAGTACAGAGGCAGTAACACTAGCTTTCCTCCTTTCCCTAAGAAGTAAAAATTATGGGAATGCAATAAACTAAAAAAATTGCACATTTAAATTCGAAACACTAAGAGTATACAAATTGAGACAGCTAAGATATTTCTGTAAACCAATTGATTTGAATAATCAACATGTTAAAGACCAAATTTTCCAAGTAACAGAACACTTACATTTGATGGATTTCTTCAACAAAGGAAATAAAAAAATGACAAAGCAGACAGGGAAACATAATTCATTGGTGCACTATATAATTTTAAGCTTCCACCCCCAAATAGCTATTTGAAATTCACTTTCTATCACAAGCACTTCTTCAGAATATTATTTAGGGCAAAATAGCCAACTTGATAAAGTGCCAGAAATCACATGAAAAATGTAGAATCTTAACTAGATAAAAGTGTCAACGAGAAATATTATTATTACCATATTTACTTTCAAAAGTAAAACTTCTGCATGGGTTCAAAAGTTCAAAGCAACCTTATTTGTTTTCAAACAACAGTGTTTCGATAGGATAAATTAATATTATCAAACTACCTGGTCAGGATTCTTGTAGCTCAAAAGAAGATTGGAGGCCTTGATATCTCCATGTACATACTCATGCTCATGAATATATTCCAGAATATCCAGCTAAAAAGCACCATAGAGAATTAATTAATGCAATACCCAGCACCAGCCAGCAGAGGACCAAGCGCGACTTTACCAGGTTACAAACAAGAACGGAGCTCACATACAATTCTTAAGCTTAGCTGTAAGACAGTTTTCCGAGAAAATCTTTTGGCATTTGCTTCATATATTTTCTGAAGGTCACTCCCAAAGCGATCCATTATCATAAACCTGTAACTGAAGACAAACAAGAAAAGTCAATGAACAAAATATAACTCAGGAAAACCTACTACGCAAGGAGTACTCTCCAGTCAAAGTGAATTTGCCAAAGCAGTGTTTAGTAAGAAAGTAGAAAGAAATGGAGAAAAAAAAAAAGAGGAGGGGGAGGGAAGAAGAGGGGCAGAAGAGAGAAACATCTGAGACAATTTATTCCAACTGGAAAGCTCGGAGCCGAGAGCCCGTCCTTCCCGCCCTGCTCTCATCTGACAGCGTCCCCAGTTTCAGCACCCAGGGTAGGATAATCAAAGGGACACCAACAGACTCATTCATAGTAAAGACAAAACAACCCAAACACGAATACCACTTGATTTTTCACATAGTCAAGTTTCTAGCTATTGCTTTGTTCCTGTGACTATTTTTCTCTACTTCTAGGTCAAACTTTAGCAGAATTAACAGTGTTAAAATCAAGAATGTTAAGAGGGCCCTCCCTGGTGGCACAACATGATAGGACACAGCACTGCAAGCTACCTGCAGCTGCTTCATGGCAAGTCCCATCCCCCGCCTGGGAGGTGACCCACATGGCAGGGCAGCTGCTCTGCCTGTTCTGCTCCCCAATCTGTCTCTGGTGAATCCTCTCAATGGCCCTGCACCTCTGTTCTGTATGCATAAATAAATAAATCTTTAAAAAACAAAAAAAGAATGTTAATAGATGTTCTAACAGTAGCTAAATTCAGGAAAATTGCTGAAATGTTATAAAAAGATTTAAGTTGAATGTGCAACAGCCAATTTTGGGGAAGAGCCAATATCCTGGGAATATGTAAAGATTTTGGTTTTGCCATAAACTACTATGTCACCTTTGCCAGGTCACAGTACTTCTCTAGGCCCGTTTCCAAAGGTGCCAAAAGAGCAAGCAGGACCTCCTCCTTTTAGGGCCTGCTCGGGGCCCACGGAGGCTCAGCACCTTGCTCGCGTGTACTAGAAGCCCACCTAGCTGCCGCTGCGCCACTCAGCTTTGGCTGAGCACCACAAATTTTCCAGAGTCTGACTTGTCTGAAAATCAACAAAAACCAAGACCACGCCCAGCTATTAGTATACTTCCCAGTTGGGCGAAGATGAGCCCCCAGCGTCCTTATACCCCGCTTGCACTTCTGAAGCCCTGGTATGGGCAGCGCCCAGCGAGGGGCCTGTTAGCCCACCTCTGCAGAAGAAAACCAGTGGTCAGCACACTGCCCTCGAACAGGTGTGAGGCCATGCTTCTAACCACCACACTGAGTATATCAACATAAACGTCAGAAGGACATAAAAACCCCACTTCCACACCGTAGGTGTTTAAGATTAAAACACAGTATGTAGAGTCCAACAGGGAAGCAAAACCTAGCATCAAAAGACAACATGCTAAATAAACAAACATTCCAGAACTCAACCATGTTTGTGGAAAGAGAATTAGAGATGGCCTGTCTAAACATCTCCATAAACAAAACGCCTACTGCCTGTGAAGGGAGAGTGATTTGTCCAAAGTCATGCAATTAGTCAGAGGTAAAAACTCACGGAAGATTTTCCAGCACCTTGACCTCTAAAGTAACAAAGGAGGAACAATTAATTCTGGCTTCCTGTTTTCACTTCGTGAGGTTGAGAGCTAGGACCAGGATCACACATACATTAAAAAAAATGTGTGTGTGTAACTATTAAAGTAACAGATGGGCAATAAGAACAGAACCTCTGCTGACATTCCTAAGGGAGCTAAAAACACTGGATGACATAGTCTACTAATACAACGCACAGGTAAATGCTTGTTTCTTATCAGTCACTTCCAAGCTGCTCTAAGTAAGACCCCATCGCCTCACTATTTCTAAACTACCAAGTGAAACATGTGCCTTATATTGCATAGAAATTTTTGTTTTTCTTTTTTTTTTTTTTAAAGATTTATTTTATTTATGCACACAGAACTGGGATACAAGTCAGAGGTGCTGGGGCAATGAGAGGAGTCACCTGTGGTGGAGCAGGAGCAAAACAGGCAGATCAACAAAGTACACTGCTAAGGGGATTAGCAGACGATGTCAAGAACAGTCTGCTGTGCCATGTGGGTCATCTCAGGGGCTGGGGAACTCGTGCTGAAGCAGCTGCAGTGAGCTTCACAATGCTGCTCTTTAACCCAGTATACCACCACGGAAGACCCAAAATTTTCATTTTTCTGCAAGGATGCTTCTACCACTGGGAAATGAGAGCTATTTCTACGTAACTCCTCTAAAGTAAAATCTCCCATCTATACTCTGGACTTAGGTAAAACAGTGCAAATAACGGGAAATACAAATCTGTATAAATGATTCAGTAATGCTGACAGGAAATATTGCTATGATCCCAGCACTGGTTCTAAGCAGTATATACACATTCATTCAACTGAACTGCAGGGAAAACTAAGAATCTCCAGCAAGGAAAGTGAGCTGGAAGAACAATCATACTTTCTATTTTATTTGCAAGAACAATATTGATATTTCAGAGCTTCAAGGTGAAAATTACACCAGTACTTTGATACCTCCTTTTACAAGGAAAAAATTCTAACAAGCCCATGTCATAGAAGGCACAGGCTGAAAGCAAGCTGGCACTAGGAAGCAGTGAGGCCCTCAGCACTGGCCTCGAGTCCCTGCATGCCTGGGGAAAGGTCCTCTCCAGTCAGCTGGCCTAGTCACCCTTCCACCCTCCATCTGTCCAGGCCCCGCCACATCACTGGGGCCCTATATACCAGCCATGTGCAGTTGGTCCCATGCTTTATCACAAAACAGATGATAGGAGTAGATAAAGCAAAATATGCTCAGGAAAGTAGCCATTCCCAAATGATGATACTAAGAGAATAAAACCAATAATGGTAACAGCAAGTAAGATGTCTTATGTGCCAGGAAAATGCCCTCGCCATTACATGCTTTCACACCCCCCTCATAACAGCTCCAGAGCACAGACCCTCGTGTCTGGCAGGGGAGGACACAGAGAAACAAGCTGAGCAGAGGCCCACACCTGACAGGGTCAGTCAACTGCAATCCCACTCAGTGGTGTGTAGGTTCCAGCATCACCCTCCTCGTCCAGTACTGTTTAAGCGTCAAGTATGCATTCACGTACTGGGAGTTTCCTCCCGCTCTGCTGTGCGAACAAGTCTCTCCCGTCTCTGAGCTCCCACACACTAAGTCACATCCACCCGATTTAGCACTTCACTCCGCACTAACTGTTGCAGGCCTGTCGCTTCCCTCAACCGCTAGACTGCAACCTCAGAAAGAGCAGCACTCCCACGGGCAGACCGCATCCAGCACGAAGCGCCGCGTGGAAGGCTGAAGCCCCCTTCCACTAAAAGGACAGGGAGCACTTAGCTTGCACGCACGTCTGGCTGTTCCTGCCTGTGAGCTGGGCTCGCCAGTGGCACTGCTCCAGCAGAGCGGACAGTCCTGAGCTTGCCAGTCTGCTGCTACAGCGTGGGAAGGCAGAGACAGGCCTTGATGCCTGCCATCCACTCACTGCCCTGGGCCCAGATGAGGGCCACTGCTACAAGTGCTTGGCCAAGAACTCTGTGATAAGCCAGCTGCACAAGGGATGCTCCAGAAAGGAAGAAGAGAAACAAAACACACAGAGTTTTACCTTTTTCCATTTTTATCATGGAGGCCAGACCCCCAGTACTTAGGAACACCCAGGTACTTCAGCTTATGGGTACGAATCCACTTCTGAACTACAAGTTAAAACAGATGCTTGTGATTTCAATTCTGTTAAATACAAATAATTTTTTTAAATCACTAAGAGCAAAATACACTTACAATGCAATGAGATTTCACTTTCATTTATTCATAAAAGGGAATTGAATACTACATTATAAACAGTAAATGAAAAGTTTTAATAACCTATGCAGTTTTCCTGCCCTAAAATTTGAATTCAAAATGAAAAATCTGAAAAACATTTTTTAAAAAATCAAAGCACCACAATTGCAATTAATATTTCTCTCTATGTAAATATTTACTTGCTTCCACAAAGAGTTTTTTTTCACCTCAACCTAAGTTTGTTTTTTTTTAACCTCATTCTACAAGGTCTCAACTACTCAAGCTCTAGGAGAGATGAACGCCTTCCTTGAGATGACCTAGCCTGATACCACCCCACTCGGAGTGTTCTTGGACTGCTGGGGCAGGGACGGGCATGAGGGACACAGGCACCTTGGGAGAGCGCTGTGCCCCCACGCCAGCCAGTTCTAGCACATCAACTATGACAGTCTCACTTACCTGCCCCAGGATGTTTGTTCTCCAGAGTTTAGAAAAATACTCAGAAAGATTTGGAGATCCCCAACCCGTTGTCACGGGTTAGGGTCTTTCTCAATTTATAACAATACTTCCTAAATCATAGTTCATTTACTTTATTCCACACATCAATATATCAAATCAATGCATTAGCATCTTTTCATAACAAACCCATTAAAGAGATCATACAAATCTCATTTCAGTGACATCACTTATGAAGTGAAATCTAATAAAGACTCATACTATAAAACGCCAACACTCTTGTCTCAGCATAAACAAAAGAAAAACCACGGTCACTTAAAATAAATGAACATGTATACTATAACTTACTTAGCTCTGGTTTAGCAGCTCGTTGATAGAACTTTAATTCCGTAAAGAGAGGTCCATTGTCACTCGGTTCCTTAAAACGGAAGAGTTAGTTAGAAGTAGTTAAGATGGACGAATTATTTTCAAGGAAACTTCAAAACAGACTAAACTCAATTTTTCTTTCCAAACAAGTTTATAATCATGTGTAAGATTATGTCAAACTCTTTAGAAATGTTTTAGAAATTCTCAGGACGGTTAATAAGTCTTAACATTTCTCTCAAGTTCCATTTCTATACAAAACTAAATATACAGCTCACTCCTTGTAGAAGTTTCAGAAGAATCTAAACTTACTTTCATCTCAATGAAGCATTCTTTTAAGCGAAATCAGCAATCATATGAACAGCATCAACAAGCAACAAGATATTTCTGAGATTTAGTGGATTTCAATTCCTGATTCACCAACTGGTGGCAAATCCCTTTCCGCTCCTGCTTCTCAGTTTCACTGAGCTCATCAAGATCGGCAAACATACTTTACCATGCAGAGGCATTTTCTTGCGATTCCAGCCAGTCAGCCAGCTCTGTCCATTTAAATGAATCCTTTTCCCTCTGACACTGGTCCCCAGGCATTTGAAATCAAAGTACTCTACAATTTCCTTCCCACATGACCATCAAAGAAGAAAAACGGGGCCCAATGACACTTGTATAATAGTAAATTTTGTCTCACTAAAACTGGTTAATTTATATTTAAAGTTTGGTATTATGTATGTCGTTTTGATATTTCTGAGAATCAGAAAAGTTCTGAAAAGCAGTGAAAACTTTAAATGAGGAAGTTAACATTTCTAAACTAATTTTAGGGTCTCCTTCGAGTAAGAGTAGAAGACAAGCTATTTTGAGCAGAGTCTCTGTGCAGCTGGAGCTCCAGGGTGAGCGAAGCACCAGGAGAGGTGAAGAGACTCCCGACCTGAACTGAGAGAAAATTTGTGAAAATACGTAGCTCTTGGCAACTGGAGATGCCTTCTGCAGGTAATTAAGACATGTTCATTTTCCACCATTCAGGATACTCCAAACAGTCATAGAAGTTAATTTTGTTCCCTGCAGTCTAAACGAAACTACTCTATGCACAGTTCTATTTAAACATGTTTAATGATTTTATTATTGTGCAAAATTTCTAAATTGAGTAGACCCTTCAGTCTATCGCCAACTATTTTTAATATGCTGACAAATGAGATCTCAATTCTAACATCTTTGAAAGGACAGAAGTAAAGGAAAATTTTTTAATTTTTCAAAACTGGTATGAAATTCAAATGCTGGCAGTTGTTTTTTTTCTATTTTCTTTATGTTTACATAATCCTCAGTGCTAAATAAAGTTTATTTTAATTATGGACACAAAATTGCATTACTTCTTACTGAGGTGACAATGCTGGTTTACGGCATCTCATATGATACAACTCTTCCGCAGGTCACCAAACACACAGTTCTAATATCTTAAATTTCTTACTACTCAAAAAGAAGGGAATCCCCGCTGGGAGCACCTACAGGAAGAGTGAGTGGCCAGTCAGGCCGCACCAGCTAAGACTGAGCATCACCTTCGGCCCAGGCTGGCCGCATCCGCTCCAGGTCACTATACTTTTCAGCCCAGCTTTGTCCGAGAAGGCAGAAAATGGACCCCCACAGTGAGATGTGGGCGGCAAAGCCCTCACTGTGGACTCAGAAGCTTGAGTGCTTCACAGCCAGGCTCCTCGCCTCGCCGTGCTGGGCCCACACAGAACGACCTTCAGTAGCAGGCGTGGGTTCAGGGCAGGGCCTGAAGGAAAATGGAAATTCCAGAAGAAATTCTGGTGAAGGTACTCTCCAAAGGTTAGCTTTTGGAATAGTTCATTAATATAACTCAAGTTTGAAAGGATTTTCCTAAGACAAATCCGGCTTACTACCATCATCTTAAAATTCTGATTTATTCAGTTTCAACCTATGTCCTATCAACTTTAATTTCCAAGCTTTCCTTCAGGCAATAATTTATTGAACTTATAATAATGAGAATCAACCTATATAAATCAGGCTATTATAATGAAAGCCTCACTACAATGAAGGGTCTTCGAGCTCATTTCAGACGCTTCCTAATTATAACAAAATAAAGGATCTACTCTTCTTTGGCACTGCATTCCAGCCAAAGCTGGCTGTTTCTGTTGAAGAAAATACCTTAACTCATAACTAAAATTTTATTAACATATTTCAAATCTAAAATACTTTGCCAACTCTGTAATAGCCAAGATTTAGAAAAGAAATTGGGAGTGACATTTTAACTAGAATATCACTAAACGTTTCTTTAAGACTTCTAAGTGTCAAAATGAAGATGACAACAGGAAAAAAAATTAAAATGTGATAGATTTCAATGGCACCATCTAAAAGCAACTGGCTGCCATTTAAATATGAAGCTGTATAAAGTTCCTCCTTCCTACCAAAAAATTATGATGTATGAATTGAAAATTCAGGTCACTTCTCATAATATCAATGAGGGAAATTAAACATCAGTCTGCAAACTTCTCTCCAGGGAACGTAGAAATACAGATTGATAGCAGGCCCTCTGGAGAGTGTCCATGGCGTAGAGAACTGCTGGGATACGAGCTGCACCCCCAGCTCCACCTCGGTCCCCAGTGTGGCAGCACGGGGCAGGCAACGCAAAGGAACAAGCCATTTATCAAGTTTATTCATGAGAAAAAAGAGAGCGAGAACTGTTTCTCCCTGCCATAGTCAGCTTTCTACTATCAATTTACCACAGCTCTACAGAAAGGGCTTCTCACTATCTAGAGGCGAGAATCCAAGTTTACTAACCTGGTCACCCAGCCCCTGCCGCCAGGGCTGCCCTCGTAAGACGAGCACCAAGCCCCAGTCAAAACCAGACTCTCTCATGAGGAAGGAGAATATTTTTGGTATGTGCCTAGCCATCTACCTTGAATACCTATGTCCTAACCTCATCTCAAGGCCAAAGAAACCTGGGGTCAACTACCTGCAGCTCTCTCTTCACAAATGATATACACAGCAGCAGCAAGCAATTTCACTGCCAAGTCTTCCAGCAAGGGGGAAGCTCACTGCCAGCACAGGCGCCTGCACACACCCATGGGCAGAAAGGACCCCAAACAAAGTGAAACACACCCCTTGACTACCAGCAACAGCAAGGGCCACGTGTGCCAGGCTCGAGCAGTGGTTTGGGAACCAGGCGAGAGGTCCCTGGAGCTTCCTTCGGAACACTCACCACATGCCTGCAGCCAGAGACCCTGAAGAGACTCCACACCCAGCCAGAGAAACACTGTCGTGAGTCTCATTCACATTAAAGATCAAGTTGCCTACGACTGCTTTTCAAGTAACATCTGCTATTTTTTCTCAAAAGATAAAATATACACTCAGTGTAGGAAATCTGGAAATTGTCTGAAATGTTTTCTTCACATTGCTATTTAAAAAAAAAAAAAACCTGTGTCCATGCTAAACAGCTTTGTATCTTGGTTTTTAAGTAATTATAAAGTTTCTCCAAAGAGTAATACTTACTTTTTAAAAATATAAGTTTTAATGACCCTTTTAAAATAGTCAAAAGTAGTTCTGATTTTAATACCAGAATGGCACTCATTTTATGTTTGTATCTGATGAATAATTTCAACTTTTAATATATCACTCTGAGAATTTTTTAAAAAATAGGAGCTAATAACTGTCAGAGCTATGTCACAGCACATCACAAAAGGTAAAGATAAATGGGCGCATTCTAAAAGGCTTAGAAAAAAGGTGGAAGTGGGTGGCTCTGAAAAGTTAAATGGCAGCAGGGAATTATGGCTAAATAGTTTTCAGGAGAACAAAACAGACATTTAGGAGCAGCATGAAGAAAACTTTCAAATAAGGTCCTTATCAAATAAAACCTAATTCAGGAGATGATATAAACAAAGTTAAAACAACCCATAGCTATTGACATGTGGAATGAGTAAATAAATGGAAACAAAATGGGCACTACAGGAGTTTAAAGGAATACAGAAAAGACAGATATGAGGGAGAACAACCAAACGGCAGTTACCAACCTCGTCTTTGGAGAGGAAAAAGCAAGCCGATAATATTGTTTATGGCATTCTTCCAGGATCACAGACAAACTATGACATTGAAAATGTCGCTGAAATATTAAATGCATTAGAGCAATCAACCGAATATTCATCACTGTCCTGACTATGCCTGACTATGAAGAGTGTGACGCAAGCTAGTGCAGACATCTGAATTAGCAGGCGACAGACGCTGCAGGTGAACTAGGTAAAAAACAAGTGGCTTTACCACTAATTGGAAAAACACACAAAAGTAGTGATAAAGGACTGATCACAAAAATATATGGAGAACTGATGAAACTCAACAAAAATAAACAACCCCATCCAAAAATGGGCAGAAGAGCTAAAAAGACACTTCTCCAAAGAGGAAATGCAGATGCCCAACAAGCATATGAAAAATGTTCACCATCACTCATAATAAGGGAGATGCAAATAAAAACCACAACGAGATACCACCTCACCCCAGTGAGAATGGCACATCTTCAAACAACTAGCAACAACAAATGTTGGCGAGGATGTGGAAAAAAAGGAACTCTCCTGCACTGCTGGTGGGAATGCAAACTAGTACAACCACTATGGAAAACTGTTTGGAGGTTCCTCAAACTGCTAAACATGGAGCTTCCCTATGACCCAGCTATCCCACTCCTAGGTATCTACCCAAAAGACACAAAAACACTGATTGAAAAAGATACCTGCACCCCCATGTTTATTGCTGCTTTATTTACAATTGGAAAAACATGGAAGCAGCCCAAATGCCCAAAAGTAGATGACTGGATTAAAAAGATGTGTTCCGTATATACAATGGAATATTACTCAGCAACCAAAAAAGAGAAACACATGTCTTTTGCAGCAACTTGGATGGAGCTGGAAAAGATCACGCTTAGTGAGATAAGCCAGAAAGAGAAAGAAAAATACCGGATGGTTTCCCTCATAGCAGGAGTATAATGGACCAGGCGAGAAAATAACAAAAATAATGAACAACCATAGACCAGAGACATTTTGCGGGGGTGGAGTGGGGAAT